GGAGGGAGAGCTCATTCTCAAAAACGTACAATATACTGTGTGACAAGGGGATTACGCTGACACACAAGTTAGATACCTGCTCGAATTCACATGCTGGACTTCCTTGTAAACTGCATTCTTCTGGGAAATGAACACATACTCTCATCATACTAAAACGCTGAGAAAACCATGTTGTTTACCTCAATGCGAGAGAGAGAGAGAGAGAGAGAGAGAGAGAGAGAGAGAGAGAGAGAGAGAGAGGGAGAGAGAGCAGGTCTGTGGCTTAAATCAGATAAACGGAGCTAATTGCCTCCCCATGTCCCCTGTGTGTTCATGTTGTTGTTACGGATGATTAGCCTAATGAATCTGAATAATTGGAAACATGCATACATGGTTATATTGTAGTACAGTTCAAGGTTTCAGGACCATAGAGAATTTGTATTGTGTAGATGCTGTTGTGGGAAAGTACAGTTAGAAGTATATGCTGGACAGTTAATTATATATTACATAAATGGCTATTGTTGTAAACCCCTTCTGTACTTCAAGCTGTTATTGTAAACCCTTTTTATACTTCAAGCTGTTTTTCTTCATGTTTTTTTCTGCATTGCCAACAACCAAGTATCTTTGATGTAGGTGTGCAGTAGATGATATACTTTTAATGATTTGTATGCAAGTAAAAAAATAATTCTACATTACGTTTTAAGTAACTTATCCCGGTCAGAGTCGTAGTTAGTTTTATAGTCAAGAATGTTTTCTACAGCAGTAATTATCAACCTGTGGTCTGGGGACCCCAAGGGGTCATTGAAGGGGTTCCAGTACCATTGGAAACAGAATGAAAAATAGGAAACACACTAAATTTCGTTATTTAAATTAATTTAATTGGGCTAATAGTAGAGAGAATGTATAAGAATGAATATTATGTTCAAGTTTCACGCTCTTCACTGTTAATCTGCCATTCTACAGTATAGACAGTTATGGAATAAATCATTCTCATCTGATCCCTGAGACTATACCTTATTGAATACAGGTTGACACAGCTTGATACGTATCAATTTGGGGGTTTTGACACCAAAAAGGTTTGAGAACTATTGCTCTACTGGATCAAATGAAGGAAATGATGTCTTGGGCCCAGCAATCATGATGCAACATCTTGTTTCACTTGGTGCTCCATATTATTTCCAATGATTCTCTGCCCATTTGCTGTACCATCGCTTTGCTGCTTTGATTTGTGACCATAACCTTTCAAATGTTGCTGCCATGGACCAGAAAAGAAAAAGAAAGTTAAACCAGAAAGAAGGTAGCCACTGAGAAACAGGATGTCTACCTTTTGACTTTTTTAATCAAAATAATGAAAGAGGGCATGAGGGTGGCATGGAGACTTTAATGGGTGGTACTAGAAATATATGCTGATTTAATCGCAATCACAAATCAATCAATCAATCAATCAATCAATCAATCAATCAATCAATCAATCAATCAATCAATCAATATTTGCTTGGAAAAAGCCCAGAAATTAAGATATTTGAACTCAAGTACATTACATTATTGTGGCTCATAGGTAAAGCATTAAATAGATAAATCTCAAGGTGGCATTAGAAATTAATAAAGTATTTTATTCCCAAATCTTTAGACATATTTCCAAATAGATGAAGCCTCTCTTACTCCAAAATGTGGCCATGACAGAACATTAAATTAAATTCTGTTTTTAATTTTTTTAATTAATTTAATGTGTTCAGTTTGACAGCATTTGACAACATACCAGGGTGGCAGGAATATTTTAGGGGGCTGCCACCCCTCTAAAGCCACCCCTCCATCTGAAAATAATAATCGCTATGTTTCACTTTATTTTATTTCTAGAAATGCCACAAGGCGCTACGTTAAACCACAGTAGCCCAGAATGGACAAACTAGCTCCAGATAGGGCATCGCTCAGTTTGCGGCCATCATAGTTTCTCCTTCGCGGTGGAAGGGGAGGGTTGAAGAAATCTGCAATCTGGCACTAAATCTTACACACTGGACCTTTAATGATGCATCCTACCTCTGTTTCATGCTCTTTCGATGGCCATTCATAATTATCTTTTACTCGCTTAACAATCATCACAGTCTTGTTATCTCAGTCGGACCATTTCCTAGACTGCATGCAGATTAAGAACCACAGTGCAAGGTGTGACACTGACACATGGAACCCCTTTTTAATAGACAGAAAAACATTACAATTACAATTTCAGGAAAGAAAATCTGTTAAAACACTGCAATTAAGATTCCCTCTGTTTTTGTGTTTGCAAAGCTGAGTCATGAGCATTTTGGACTAATGAAGTTTAGCCTAAAAGCTGTCAAACGTATTGAGCCAGCCTCTCTCTTGCTGTGCCACCCAACAGACGTTTCTGTCATGATTTGTTGATTCCACTCAGGCTTACAAACTGAACATGGCTTTCTTCCTATGATTCCCAGAAACTAATATATCTAGGGATGATGATTTACAAATATCTGACAGGAAATGTTTGAGATTTTTGTCTTCATCCATCCATGTTATTTTAATTGATTATTTCAGTCATCTACTTCTTCAGACTTAGTGCATTGGTTCCTTTACAGATGAACTTGTGTGCTTTGAACCAGGCAGTCACTGGTGATGTGTTCCCAATGCCTTCACTTTACTGATAAATGCATATGGCAGAAAAATTGTCTAGGAAAAGCAATTCCTCAGGCGTCACAACAATTCCTGCCCTCATTTTTCACATCCATTGAGAAAGAGGGGTAGAATTTGACTGCTTTTCCTGCACTGAGAGATATACTGAGACCCCCACCTGACTTTTATGTGAAGCTAACCTTTTTCTTTTCCCCTACTCAAGATGGATATATGCAGAAATCTGTCTTTGCATTACATACACCCTTACGGACGTGTTTGTGTGTGTGAGAAACAGACAGAGAGGGAGGAAGACACAGGGAAGCTCTGAATGTTTCCATTATCACAAAGTTCCTTTGCTCTTCCTCTGCACAGCGGACTCATCCGTCTGTTTCACTATGCTATGATTTGTCTGTGTGTTGGAGGTTAAGGGTACTTTGCATGAAGATTAAGTGTGCTCTTTGACAGCTCTGCCCCCTAAGAAAGACAGATCGGCTCCTTTAATAGACATCTGACCTTTGGGGCCAGAATGAGAAAAAGTTTGTGTGCTCATTGAATAAAACTCTCTGGTTCTCTTGTTCACAGCAGATTTTTTTCACTGTATTGAAAAGTATTGAAAGAAGAGCAAAAGTGAATAAAATCCTGAAAAATTTGGAGAGTTGTTGTAATGAAAACATGATGAAACTCTTCTAATTTCCCGTTCTCAAAAATCTTGTGACAACCTTTGAACCTAGACGAGCAAAGGCCTTTCTGCTTTGCTCCACATCAACCTTTCAACAGTCCGAATACTGGTGATAGGAGACCTTATTTGACTTGATGAAACCACTAACTGTATGCATGTGGAAATATGATGCACACCATCAGGGCTCTAATCAGCCACAGGGTTGAATTCAAATGAGCCTTCCTCCACTTTAATAATTATGTGGTAGTTAATTGATTATTTCCAACAGGAAACTCAGAGGACACAGTCAGTTACAGCATGACTGTAGCTATTGAGTGTTTTGCTGAAGGACACCTGAGTGAAGAACCCGCTGTGTATAACTTATAAGGAATAGGCTGGTAATATGTTGATGTGTTTCATATTGCCAACAAGAATAAAGCCAACAGCATATTAGTCTGTCTCTCAATACTTTGCAACTTCTCAAAAGTGTTTGTGGCTCTCAGACCTAAGCTTATTTGTTGTTGAGTTGGTCGTTTTTATCAAACGTTACATAAACAAGAGTAATTATGTTTGTTTGGGACTGTTTCCTATTTTTTATTTCCTGATCAAATTCACCATAATTTAGGAACATGTCACCCAGTGCGCCAAATTTCGGATGCACTTTAGTTGATTAGTCAAATTATTTGATGGAAAAAGAAAAATTGGAGCAATTCTGGTAATTATTTGAGCAATTTAGGAACTTTTTAAAGCAAAAAAAAGAAAAAAATCCCCAAATTCACTGGTTTTCAAAACCCAGCATTTTATAGACTTTTATCAAATATGTGACATTTTACAGACCAAAATATGAATGGAGAATACCATGACAAGACAAATTGACACTAAAAATAATAATTAGTTGCATTGTCATTTCACTAGATCTTATTTTATGTAAGACCATAAATCTTGCATGTAGGATGTAGAGAAAGTTTGACTTAATCCAGAGAGAGAGACAGAGAGAGAGATGCCCTTAGGCTGAGGTGCGCACACCGACTTTGAAACGCTCCTTCTGACAAACAACCAAACAAAATTCCCCACACAAATTAACAATTCATTATAGAGCTAGGAGCAAGGCAAACGGAGCTCATAATGAAAAATGAAAGCTGCCTATGATGGTTTCAGAATATTAAAGTCGGGAATTATTCAGAAGATTGTCACCTATAGTCTTGTTAACAGCCTTACTCTTTTGGAGCCATTGTGTGGGCGGTTTATACAGTAGTTTTATTGTAATATTACACAATCCTAAAATGTAGCTATCAACACTGAAGTTGCTTTCTCTCTGGGTGCCCCGCAGGCACCGCCGCTATGTGTGCGTTCACACACAGGGTGCATTAATGGAAGCTTCCAGAGCGCTCTCACTCTTGCATTGAATATAAGATGATAGAGACCGTAAATCACCTTTAAAAGGGGGGATGGATTATGGATGCTGGTATAAGGGCTATAAACCTGTCTGAGGAGGGGAAAAAAAAAAAAAAAACCCGGCTCATGATAGGTGTGATGTTGATGGATCCTAGAAACCTGCCGCCGCTGCGCCCGGAGATCATCCAAACTCCCTAAAAATAATTGGGTGTCTAAATTTGTCCACAGAAAATATTAGCGACGCTGACCCTCCACTTAGATAAAGACCGACACCCCCCCCTCCTCACCCCATCACCACTCCCTCTATCTCACCTCCTCCCTCCCCACTCTCTGTCCTCCTCATAAATCTATTGGTTGTGGTCTCGGCTCCACTATCCAGTGCTTTGCTGATCAGACTGCAGTTGTATTTGGGGGAAGTTGGCAGCTGGCGGCTCACGGCGTAAGGCTTTCCTCTCTCTCCGGCGCTTGGACAGTGGAATTATGAGCAGAGCTGACCCAGCCTCTATCACCCTGTCTTGAATCCGTTTCTGTTTCACACCGAGAGAAATTGAACCGACCATGGACATTGGAGTCCGCATCCTCTTGGCTTTCCTCGTCCCTCAGGTAAGACAGGAGAGAGTTGTGTGTGTGTGTGTGTGTGTGTGTGTGAGAGAGAGAGAGAGAGAGTGTGTGTGTGTTGGATTCGGGGAGAATTTCACTGAGACGCAGAGCGATCCGACTCTGGAGCATCCGTCTGGTCTCGCTTGGGGTACTCTTGTGTTCTTGGCGCAAATAGATCGGCTTGCCAAGTTTGTCCCGAGTCTGCACATAACACACAGTCACATCCAGCAGTCAACCTGCACTGCCAGACCAGTCCGTGCCGTGCCGGAGCACAAGTTTATCCCCGTTCAGTCAGCCTCTCTGTGCGCATGGCTGGCATTCGTGGCACCGAGTTTGGGGGGCAGAGGGGTGTCGGGTCTGGCGATCTGCAGTGCTCGCTCACTTTAAGAATGCCTTTTACATTTTGTCAAGAAGAGATAGACAGAAAGAGATGAAGGGGGAGAAGAGAGGACGGAGGTGGGGGGGGGGGCGCAGGGTGTAGGCTATCTTATGTCTATGTGCAAATTACGGCTCCGGCTCTTGTCTCCAGTCGCATCTATATTCCGCTCAGCCACCAACTTGAGCGTTTCTTTTCGGCTTGTGAGTGTGTGTGTGTGAGTGTGTGTGTGTGTGTGTGTGTGTGGGAAGCACACAGGCGGATGGAGGAGAGGAGTGGAGGAGAGAGAGGCAGAGAGAGAGAGAGGCGGCGGGGGGTGTGAGAGAGACAGAAAGAGAGGCAGGGAACTAACTTGGCCGCTCTTCCGTGTTATTTGTGGCGTCTCTCTGGGTATTTTACTCAGTCTATTGCTCTCCATGGACGTGGATTCTCTCGGGATATTTAATAAAGCCTTAATTCCCCACTGTGATAGAGCCACTCGCCCGTTTCATCTGACTTTAATATGGGGAGAGAGAGAGAGAGAGAGAGAGAGAGAGAGAGAGAGGTAACTGGGAACAGCTGTTTCTGCCAGTCAAGTGTTTAAATGGAGAAGGGGCAGCAGCTCTAATGATGCTCAATTGTGACATCTCTTAACACTTGTGTCCACTCCTTTTGTGTGTGGGTTTGTGTGTGTGTGTGTGTGTGTGTGTGTGTGTGTGTGTGGGGGGGGGGTGCTTGCGGTCTGCCCTGCTGAAGTTCCCTTGAGCAATCCAAGTGCAGAGCTGCTGCTCTCCTCTGACCTTTGACCTCCTCACGCAGACAGAAAAAAGCACACATTCCCTCACTCTAAGATCAGCAGGAATCACCATTAAAGTCACCACTGTGTGCTCGCTCTAATGGCAGCGGCTCTTCTCGTGGCGTGCTGCAAAGGTTTAAGTGGCAGCTAATTTTAAAATAACCTAGCAGAGACTATTTCTAAACACAGCAACAATGGGAGAGCCCCGAAGCGTGGCAGGCAAACAGCTCATTTGGGAAACTCTGTGTTGTTGTGCTATCTCTCTCTCTCTCTCTCTCTCTCTCCTCATTTCCTCTCTCTATCTCTGCTCTTTCTCCTCCTGGATGGATTGAGAGGCCAAAGACAACACAGCTCATTTGGTTTTTCTTGTTTGACCTGTGTAGGCTTAGTGCACACTTTCCGCTGTGTATTATTCATTTTTAATTGGATAAGCCATCGGTTCATTTCCACATTGTAGTTCGATCTTCTGATGCGAGGCGATCATGATTCAGGCTAATAGTTCCTACAAAGAAATTATTTCACTCTGTACCCCCCCCCACGCACACAGGTGTATTACTAAATTTGTGAGGAGGCTTTTCCATTGACTAGATTCATTCACTAACCCTAGGAAGAAACTGATAAAATACCCTCTGAACCTAGAGATTGTTTTTGTAATATGTTTCCATGCAAGTACTCACTGCTGTGGAAGTTCACTCAAAATCACACACTCACTCATGCAAAGTGCCAGATCTCCAGGAGGTTAGCTGTATGGAGCTGATTTACATGCTGACCCAGCCCCATGAGGGCATCTCTGTCCTCTGGCTGTGCCCACCAGAAGCGGTAGCTGTAAATGTTTTGAATGCCCCAAATGTAAATGAGTACACAAAGCCAATAAAACAGAGATTCATGCAAACCGCTGATAAACATATACCAGCTTTCCCCAGCGAGAGACACACACAAAATACATACACATTTGTATTCAACGCATACTTACTCCACCTGACTCATCATCCACAAGAATGTATAAACTGTCATCTCCCCTCTCAGAATGACAGGAACGTGCAAACCTCACCATGTTAAAGAGTGTGGGATTGAACGAGGCACTCATATTTATAGATGCTCAGGTAGGGAGCCAAGTTCCTCTCCACAATAAACTGCCATGCACTCCTACCTTCCTCCTACCACACACCCACACCCACATATGGGCGCACACACACACCCACACACACACACACACACACACACACGCCAGCAGCCCCCTCCTTGGCAATAAATCCCTGTTTTCCAAATGAAACGCTAAGCAGTCTCTCCGGGTGGAGCAATGATTCAGAATAAGCACAGCACAGCTGGGAGCTGCAGGTGCAAGGATTTGTATCCCCTTCTTTTTTCTCCTTTTCCCACTTTGATTCCTCCTCTTTGTCTGTCTGGTATATGTTGTTTCCCCCCCTCAGCTTTTCCTTCCTCCCATCCTGTGAAACTAGTCTTTTACTTTAATTAATGTGATTTACCAACCTTAATCCTCCTTTTATTTCCTCAAAATGCTCAGCGCCATTTTCTCCCTTCACTCGCTCTCTTGATGTTTCCTCTTCTCCACATCTTGCTCTCTTCCACCAGTAGACGGCGGATGACAGTTATACTCACAGTTTAAATTCTGGGCTGGCACCTGGGCGTGTCTGCGATGAAGATTTGCTGTCATAGACGTTTATGGGCACGGTGGCCAACAGACTGTTAAAGTTCTTGTTTAAGCCGCTGCAGGCTCCGAGATAGACACAGATAGAGGAGGGAGGTCATGGTCTCCAGGAAAGAAAGCGTTTAAAGTGGGGAGCTGAAGACAGACAGTTGCCATGGTGTCCTGTTACTCATAGACACAGCTGACCTTCATGTTTCCATACGCATACAAGCCCAGAGATGCCTGACACAAACATCCACACCTTTATCCATCTTTCTGACCCCCTCCACCCCCCCGTTTGGTCTCACGCTCCCTCGGCCCTAGAGGTAGTTCATTGACCATTCCTGGTATGTCAACGCCATTTATTATTGAGTGCAGCAACAAGTTTGAGATATGAAAGCACATATTCAATAGAGGTCCATGCTGTGTTCAGCAATATACTCTAGGCTGAGTGATTTCTTATCATACATAGCAAAAGGTTTTTTGTTCAGTCATGTCAAAGAGGATAATGAAGGATCCTCTGTGTATACATACCCCCCTGCACATCCCTGTGGTTTCGTCATGAACTGTACAGATGAAGCCATGTTATGTCCATCACTGGTAACAATGAATCATCCTTTCAGAGCAGACCCCCAGCTAACCTCTTGTTTCTCCCCAGAAGGCTTATGTATGAAGTGTCCTTTTCAGACCCGCCACCCCTCCGTTAGCGCGTGCTGTTCCGGCGATGGGCTTTTTATAATGGAGTCTGTTTAAGGAGCAACAGTATGACATGCTACAAAGGCTAATGGTGACACTAATGAGGAATGCCAGTCATTAAGACAGGGTGATTTCTTTCTTTCCGTCTCCTGTTCCCCTGTCTGTCTCCCTCAGACGTTCTTGCTCTCTTCTCATTCTCCCCTCGCCATGCCGCGAGGTCTTTCAGCTCCCATAGTCAAGCAGTTGGAATAAAGGGTTAAAGCTTCAAAAAACTGCAGAGAAGTTTGCAATTTAACAGCCCACAGAGACACACAAACACTCTGAATAAAAAGAGCGTGAAATGGCTCAAGTGAAAGCAGCCCAATATCAATCTAGATTTTGCTGTCTAAATGTACCCTGGTGTTACAGTGGGTTTAACAATCGGCCAGCAAATAGGCTTTCAAGTGTGGGGCTTTGAGGTTTCAGTCTCCTTCCCATTCCACTTATCTGTGCTCTTTCCTGTATGAATGCTCACAGCTAACTGTAGTGTATGCTACTACAGGGCTTTTTGGAGTTTTTTTTTAATCCGCTGTTGTTGAAAGAAAACATCTAACTCTAAAAGCTTCCTGTAAATGAACACACACAGACATGCAAGCATGCACACTGACCGACACACAAGTTTGAACCCAAATGGACTCTGAGGGACATACATGCACAAACACACTCACACGTGTACATGTTGACACCTGTGCACTCACACTGATTTTTCTCTTTAAAGGGGAGAGTCTGAAACACTGAGACTTTCTTATTTATCCGTGTGTTCCCCTGTGACTGTGGTTGAGCAGTACTGCGCTGTAATGGGCTATAAGGTCAAATGCTGTCTTAACTCCGCTGTGGGAGGGTGTGACCTTTGAAGGAAACACAGTCTTCTTCAATCTTCTTTCCCTCGACGTCGCCACCACCCTCCCCTGAGGAAGGGAGTGGATAAGAGGAGGACGTAGCGAGGGAGGATGACGGAGAGAGAGTGAGAGTAGCAATTAAAGTAAATATGTACCCTTAGTGCTCCATTAGAATCTGCCTGTATTTGATATAAGTGGCCTAATTATGCAAAACGGCAATGGACATTGCGTGGTGTAATCGTGAAATGCGCCAAGTGAATAAAAAAAAGTGATAGAAAACCCTGCGTCCTAGGAGAGTGGATTAATGGCTTATTTGTGAGTGTGGATGACTTTTAGTGGTTAGAGAAAGCCGAGAAGAGACAGACAGACACACACACGCACGCACACACACAAAAGGCCTCAGTAACCATGTGTGAAGGACACAGCAGTACAATGCGATGCTGTCCCTCCAGTTGATCACGCTTTCATCTCAGTTTGTTCTCCTCTTGTCAATTTTGTGGTCAGACGAGCAGATGAACAAGCACACAGATAAAATGGGCGTCACACAGACAAAGAGCCATATAGATACCCAAGCAGAGATAACGGCCCCCCTAAAAAAGCAATCCCCTGATGACCCAAACTAAAGTGTGT